ATTTTCGCCTATGACATTCATGAAGTTCCAAGCCTGTTTGCAATAGTGTTGACATTGCTGGAGAACCAATCTACTCCGTGCTTTCATGTATTAGAACTCAAATTGCTTTCGCTTTGACCCTTTTATTTTCTTACTTTGTTCCCTGCTTTCCTTGAATTTGCTCAATGTAGGTTAGTTGGAAAAATTATGGACCTGATTATGACACTTGGGAACCAATTAGTGGTTTGAGGTATGCAATTAGACTACTCACTATGCTTATTCTATTTATATGTTGCCATTTAATTTTTCTCCTCTTTAAAAAGAACAATTGTTTTTGAATAGCAATTGTCGGGAAGCTATAAAGAAGTTTGTCGTGCACGGCTACAAGTCAAACATTCTGCCATTACCAGTAAGCTTACTTAGCTTTTTAACTCACATTTTAAGCTGGTTTATATGCATTGCTGATTGATTCATTGTCAAAATATATCATTTAGGGAGATGTTGAAGTGATTTGTGGTGGACCTCCTTGTCAAGGAATTAGTGGCTTCAATCGCTTTAGGAATGTTAACAATCCTTTGGAGGATCCAAAAAACAAGCAGCTTGTTGTTTTTATGGACATAGTAGACTTTCTCAAGCCAAAATTTGTGCTGATGGAGAATGTGGTTGACCTTCTGAAGTTTGCTGATGGATTTCTAGGACGATATGCCATGGGTTGCCTTGTAAGTATGAAATACCAAGCTCGGTTGGGTATGCTGGCTGCCGGGGCATATGGTCTTCCACAGTTTCGTATGCGAGTTTTTCTATGGGGTGCTTGCGCTACTGAGGTACGATATATAATATTTTTTTCATACTACTTCGAAAGTACTTGTGATTTTTCTAATCAAATCTTTTATGTTTTGCAGAAGTTGCCACAGTATCCTCTTCCCACCCATGATGTTCTTGTTAGGGGTGTTGTTCCTCTAGAGTTTGAGGTACGAGTGCTCATATTAATCACAATAGATTTTAGTTAACAACTAATACCATATCATTTATGTTTTTGATTTTTTATCTTTATTAAAATAATTTTGCTCATGACATGTAGGGTAATACAGTGGCTTACGAGGAGGGTGTTAAACCTCAATTAGAAAGGAAATTATTTTTAGAGGATGCAATATCTGACCTGCCTGCGGTTGGTTATATTTCTCGTTCATTTAATTTAATATCTTGTAAACTTCAAAACATTTTCATGTTCGATTCATTTTAATGTAATCAGGTTGCGAACGATGAAAAGCGTGATGAGATGCCATATGGTGTATCTCCTAAAACAGAATTTCAACGAATGATTAGATTGAAGAAAATGGGTGAGTGGATTTCTTGTTATTTTGTTAGGATTGTGTTCTGATCGCTATGTAATGTATCAATATAATGTAGGCGACATTGTTAATTTTTTTTGCAGGTTTAGAATTAAATGATTTATTGTTTGATCATCGTCCTCTTGAACTAAATGACGATGACTATCAACGAGTTTGTCAAATCCCGAAGAGAAAGGTATTCTTTAACATTTATTTATTTATTTATTTTTAATCAAATCACTGTTATATCATCGTGTCATTTATTTAATGACAATTTTGTTTGATCAGGGAGGAAATTTTAGGGATTTACCTGGTGTACGAGTAAGACCTGATAAGAAGGTGGAGTGGGATCCGGAAGTTCCAAGGCAATACTTGAGCTCAGGGAAACCCTTGGTATTTTGGATGCTTTCTACTTGTCTTTATATAAATCTTCTAATGTATTCTCATTGTTCATATTACTTTGACTTATTGGTATTGAAGGTTCCTGATTATGCGATGACTTTTGTCAATGGAAGTTCTTCCAAGTAAGGATCTGGCCATTATGTGTTTTGTTCAGCAAGGGTTTTTCTTTTTTTCTTTTTCGGGTTTAATAAATATTATGAGCTTGTGAAATAGGCCATTTGCTCGTTTATGGTGGGATGAAACTGTCCCAACAGTTGTGACCCGTGCTGAGCCTCATAATCAGGCAATCATGCATCCTGAGCAAGATCGAGTGTTAACAATTAGAGAGAACGCAAGATTACAAGGATTTCCTGATTATTATCAGCTTTGGGGACCTATTAAAGAAAGGTTAGTGGTTTTTCTAAATGTTAACATATTAAGTTTTGAAGATCTGCAATGATACAGAGTTATTCAACGTCTCTTCCATCACCTTTGCTCAATGCTTGAGCCTTAATGGGTTGAGTATCGTTTCAATACCCTTTTCTTTTAAATATCATTTTGATTACTTTTTAAAAATTAAATCGGGTTTTTAGGTTCTTATTAAGTAAACTATGTCGTGTGTACTGATTTGCCGAATCGTTTGGGTTTGTAAACCTAGCTTGGGCTAGTTTCTATATCAACTCTTGTTAGCCGTCACTTGTACTATGTAGAAGTCATAATTTGACAAATAATTATGGAACTCCCTTTTTTTTTTGGGCGCCTAATTCAGGTACATTCAAGTTGGGAATGCAGTGGCGGTTCCTGTAGCCAGGGCTCTCGGGTATGCTTTAGGAAGGGCATTTCAAGGATTTGCCGGTGATGATCCTGTGTTTAGTTTGCCAAAAAAGTTCCCAAGGATTACCGAAGATCCCTCTTCTTCATCTGAAGCTCAATGCTAAACATTCATATTAGTAATTTATCATTATTTTTCACATGTACTGAACAAAATATTTATGATTACCATATCCTCGCTCCCTCGTTAAAAGGCTTATATGGTAAACTTCAGATTATTTTGAAATGAAAATGTAAAACACTTCCATGCGGGTTCATATTTATTAGTCACTTTTTTTTTATTTATACAAACCAGCTGACTTATTTAATGATTTGAGAAGTCTAAAAGATTTGAGATATGCATAATAAATCTCAAGTTTAAATTAGATACATTTTTTTGTAAAGTATGAAATAGCTGAAGTTTCGTATATCTAGGTTTACAAAATGTGTTTTAAGGTGAAGTTTTCTCAAATCTAAAAAAACAAAATGACTTGAAGAGCGTTTTTGCATGATAGATGTTTTTATAGATATATTAAGATAATTTTAAAGTTATGATATTAATTTTTTTTTTATATGTATTTTTAATTAAAAAATAATTTTAAAATACACTTTATAACACAATATTTATCAACTTCAGAGTTTGTTTGTTTGTTTTGTTTTTTTTATTAAATTGTTCTATTAAAATGTAGTTCTCAATTAATAGCAAATTCATGATCTGAGACCTTGTGTTTTGGGTGAGGTCAGATCTGGTTTCCTTTTCGACCCTCCCTTGTGTTTTCGACCTGTTTGTGATTTTTTTTTATTTAAAAATTTATTAAAATGTTTTTTTTTTTAAAAAAAAATTATTTTTGATATTAAAAAAAAACTTTTTATTAGCATACGCTAAACAATGCATCGGTGTAAAAAGTGCTGTGCTATGGTACATTATGTGAAAGTTACGTGCTGAAATGGCGTCTAAATTTAATGGAATTATTGTTTTAAAAGTTAGTGGAATAGCATCTATCCTATCTAAGACCGGCTTAATAGCTCGAAAGTAATTTACTTTTAAAACATGAAAAAGTATATTATTGACAATGTCATGAGAAAATAAATTATATAAATTAACATGTATAACATTAAATATTACTATTTAATAATTTACATAAAAAAACAAAACATGAAAAGTAAAATGATGTTTTGAAGAGTATTTTTCAAGATAATTAAAAAAAAAACATTTTTCTTTTGATGATACACCTACCTTCAACGAAAATGAGAAATTGGGGGGGGGGGGGGGGGTTTGCAGGAAAGTGTTACTCACTTTTCATTAAAAAAAAAAAAGGCTTAACTAATAAACCATGAATTCCAAGCCAACATACACAAATCATCCCCAATTTAACACTAAACATGTCAACAATCACAAAATCATCATAGTCTACATTCGTCAACTCAATTCCAAAAACCCAGAAACAGAAACAAGACTAAGCCCCTCATTTTGATTTGCAAAATGGGAAAGGAGGCAGCTTTAGCACTGCTTCTTCAGTCTCAATTGGGTCTGATCTCAGAATCTGACATTAAATTTAAAAAACCCAAAACAAAAGGTGTTACCACAAGCTCCGAGCTATGGTTTTCTCTGTGTGTGTGCATATGCAATGGAAAGAGAGGGATTACTTACTGGGTCTTTGAGTGGAGGCTTAGTGTCATCTTGAGCTGGCCTGAACAGTGGTTTTTGTGGCTTAAAAGCATCGTTATTGCCGGTCTTGATCGTTTCTGTTGGTGTTGATGAAGATATCTCTGGCCCTTCCATTTGCTTCCTCTCACCAGTGACCCACCCAAGCTCTTGTTTTCTGTGGCTTTTCAATGAGGACTGTTGCGGTGTGAGAATAAAATGGAGATTTGAAACGTCGTCGGCTTTTTAGTTTGCTTCTAGGAGAAAACGACAGGTAGTTTACTGGTGTATCCTCATGTCGCTCAAGGAAGCTAAGAAAACCTAGTAATCATGTTATTTTCCATGTGTTTTTCAACGTGTTGGATGTAAGAAATTTAAAAAATATATAAAAAAATATTTTTAATTAAAAAACATTTTTGAAAAACATTTGCATCACTAAACAAACTTGCTGTTATTTTTAAGATTTTTTATTTAAAACTTTAGTTTGGCTAAATTAATATTATTTTAATTTAAATTAAAATCTCACTTGAGCTAGGTTTTCGAGTAGACCTTGGTCAGGCTGGTTTAGTGACTAATTATTCTGTGGATTCTTTTTGAAGGTTTTTGATCACATTGTCATTCTCAATAATGACACCCTATAATTCTGTCATTCATGACCTTATTTGCGCATAACATGACATGTAGGGCTCTGTTCCTTGTATTTTCACGAAAGGGAAATATTGAAAACGCCACTGAATTTATCTGTTAGATTAGTTCAGGCGATTTAAACAATAATTAAATCTCTAAATAAAGTAATTGGTGTTTCTTTCTTGAAAACAATGTGCCTGCCGTCCATGTACCTTGAAAAGAGAAAGAAATCCTTCCCTGGACAGTTGTAAGCTGATCGATGGTAGGATCAATGGCTTCCTCCTTTTCCATCTTGACCTCACCAAAGCAGAAGAATTCACCATCCATTGATGCTGTTCTTGGTAATGATGACCTCGTCACTGAGATTCTATTGCGTGTGCCCCCAAAAGCGGTCCTGAGATTCAAGTTAGTTTCCAAGAAATGGCTTTCTATCATTTCCAACACAAGTTTTGCTACCCGCCATACTCACCTCAATCCCCATACCGTTTCAGCTCTTCTCCTCAGAGTTTCCTTCTCTTCCAAGGAACCACCGACCCACAAATACGTTTCTCTTGATGGGAAATCATTAGCTTACTTTTCCTATGATTTTCTTGATTTTGACCCCAGCAATAACCCGGGATGTATTTATGTTTCTCAGTCCTGCAATGGCTTGCTTTTGTGTTCTAAATGCAGACGGGATCTTCCAGAGAGGTCTCAACCAATAAATTATATATTCAATCCTACTACAAGGCAATTTGCAGTGCTACCTCCACCACCTGACGATGGACAATTTTTTGATTCGATTCAGTTGGTGTTTGATCCTTCGGAATCATCTTGTTACAGGGTTGTTTGCACTCAATTCTTTACCTCAGAGCTTAAGATTTATGTGTTCTCATCTGAAACCAAGGACTGGAAGCTTTGCGTGAGCCAAGAAAGTTTTGATTTTTTACCTGTCAACTTTGCGGATGGCGTCTTTTGGAATGGTGCTGTTCATTGGATTAGTCCTATGGGGAATGGTTTCAGTTTCTTGCTTGATAAGGAATGCCTTGAGACAATTCCGAGGCCTCCACTTCCTGAGAATTGGCAGGAACAAAATTTCAGGTACTTCGGAGAGTCTGACAGGCATTTGCATTTTATTGGGGTTTTGGCAGGAAACCCAAATCCTGATGATTTGAACAGAGGTATTGTCACCCCTGATATGTCTCATGACCAAAGTACTGATCAATCCATAGTAGTCTATACCATGGAGAGAGGCTTCTCAAAATGGTTTGTTAAGTACTGTCTCCATATGAATGCTATTGTAATGGCATATCCTGAGATAACAGAAGACGAAGATCTTGCAGCCTCACCATTTTCAGCAGAGAAAGGATCGGTTCGTTTATTGTCATTTATCGGCGGGGATAACAATGAAGGGCCATTGCTGGTGATGTGGATCCTTGGTGAGATCATATCTTTCTGCTTCAAGGACAAAACATTCAAGAAGATTTTGAGGCTTCCTTTTAAGCACGCTACCTGCTATGCTTTAAACTACACTGAGACATTATCTTGTGTTTAATGGTGTGTATGTTTGCTGTTGTCCAACATCTTTTGTAATTCTTTTCAGCTTCAGCAAATTACTATTCAGGAAAATAAATCCATTTATATTAGCATGAAACACAAGGCAAATCCCGCCTCCACCTTTGTTTGCTCCAAATATGTGTTATCAGTTCCAGGACTTGACAGGTTCCATGTTTCTTGTATATTTATAATTAAGAGGAAATTATAGAAAATGCCACCAACTTTATTTTTTAAGGTTCTTTCTCTAGGCGATTAGAACAATACCTTGAAAGAGAAAGAAATGCTTTAGACAATTGCAAACTTGTTATAGGATGAATGGCTTCCTTACCTTCTTCCATCATAAACTCACCGAAGCAGAAGAATTCATCATCTATTGATGCTGTTCTTGGCGATGATGACTACAAGACCCTTATTCTTGACCCATCAGACCTAAACCCAAAACTCAATCCAAACCCAACAAACTAACTTAAGTATTTAAAGAAAAGTTTTCAGGGAATTGTTTTTCTTTCTTTTCCTTTTTTCTTCTCTCTACCGTAACTTTCTCTAAAAACACCAAAGATATCTGTTTTGAACTTAAGGTTTTGGTTTCAAGAAGGGTTAAAGAACAAGTATCTCCCTCCTTACTGTTATTCTTAGTTTTTGTTAATAGATGAACTTTGTTAAATATTCCTGCTTTTTCAATTTTGATCGATATATCTCACTTGCTCTACGATAATGGAAGATGGAGATCTTACAGCAGATCCTATAGCCTCGGGTTGATTTACTGTCGTTTATCGAGGGGAACAATGAAGAAGGACCGTTGCTGGTGATGAGAGCCCTGGTGAGATCACATCTCACAGTTTCAAGGACAAAACATTCATGAAGATTCTGAGTTCTCTTCCTCTTAAGCTATGCTTTCAAGTACGCCAGACATTATCTTGTGTGCAATGACTTATGTCTGGGAATAATTTACAGCTTCAATAATGGAGTCTTGAGGAATAATAAATCTAAGTGTTGTCTCGCTACCACAAATTCTTCATGGAAGTATTAAACTCATAGCCGCTTAAAGTACAAATTAATGAAATTTAGACATGTATTAATACAAGATTAATTAATAGGTCACAACTTTGTTTCCATTATTAAATACCTCTGTTCTAGATTGTACTGTTGAATGAAAGACGAACGTTTAACTTAAATTAAATTGATAAATAAATAGAACTCATTTGATTTTATTTTCTATATCACTCTTATCATTTTTATTTTATTACATTAAAGATCTTTTAAGAAAAAAATTAGCAGATGCGTATTTTGAGAAGCTAATTTTAATACTAATATCTCATTTTTAATTTAGCATTCTGAGAATTAATTTCTAATTTATTTTTGAACTATACTTAGAGATCAATTTTTATTTAAAATTCATTCAAAATAGCTTTAAATATAAATTTATATTAAAACCTTTAAATTAAATTAAATTTCTAAACAACGTGTAGAGTCTAAACGGTAATGGTAATAATTCAACACTCTAGAGGAAACTACTAATGCTGAATGAGTCTTATTTTGTGGCAAAGCTAACTTATCAAGTCCCTTAGTGTTCTCTATAATTTGTGATTTAGAAATTTTTTATTAATTAGATAGTTTAACAGATACATATTTGGATTAGATGAATGACTTCAAGCCTATTAACTTTAAATTTTTTAATTGAAATTATTTTTTGACATGATATTAAATTTTTAATAATTAAATAATTAATAGTTTAAATCTCACAATCTATTTAATTTAATTAATAAAATTAAATATAAGATAATAATGAATTTTAAGATTTTCTATAATAATATAAGATTTTAGATTGAGATTATTTTTAGTTAATAGTAACTTATTTAACTAGTACCATCACCTGAGCTTACTTGAATTGATGATCACATGCCTTCCTTCCCATGGGACTTTGGGAGACTCAAAATCTGGCTTCTAGATTTTGTGAATCTTTACAGACCCCATAAGAAATTAGAGCATAGGACAAGAGTCAGAGATGCAAATAGTTTTTACCACTAAATTAACAAGGTAGTGGATAGTATGTCCATAAAAGGACAAGGATCCATGTATTATATTCTCCCACGCAACAGTCACTCCTCGATCGAGCCTTGGTGTTTTGGATACGACTTCAAGCAAGCATCATTCACTAAAGAGTTGTTCTTCTACTCATAATGGTCTCAGCTCCAAGACCAAGACCTTCAACTTTCACCGCCTCGGAACAATGGCTCCTAATGACAGCCACATTACTGATCTGTGGATTCTTGGGCTATGTAGTTTATGATGCGGTTATGGCCACAGCATCTGAGATGCTGCAAAGGTTACTGGTCATTTTTCCTTTGATTCTGATTATTGCTGTTCATTTGCTGTCTGCAGGCAGCCAGTTTAGCATACCTATTCCAGGGTCGGAGCCTGGTGCCATCCATAGAGCTGGAGGCTCACCTTGGGGTGTAGCTTTTGTGCTGTTGCTTCTTGTCTTCCTCATATCTTACCAGCCTTCCCTGCACGGCCTCATCTTCTAGTTTGACAGCACTCCTGTCCAAGCATAGTTAAGCATGCTTCCAGGGTGGGTGCAGAATTTATGCAAGCTTGCTTCTACTAGATATGGTGTAACTTTTAACCTATTTGATGAAGTGAAAATGCCCTCTTGTTATTTTCATTATAGCATAACAGGATCATGATCGTTCGCCTGCTTAGCTACTTTCTTCCTGGGCATGCTGTTAAGAAACTAATGCAATCTATCCTGAAAATGTTAGAGGGTCTTCCATTTCATAATTTTCTGTGTTTTCTTCGAAATTGGCAACATGTCTGAGCCTCTTTAATTTGAGGTTCAGAACACAATCTAGCATGGGAGAGCTTAAGTATGAGTATTTCAGTACTTGAATATGGAAATCCAATCCAATGCCTTCTGCCCCGATGCCAATTCCTAGAAACAAGTAGCACAAGAAAAATCTGGAAATACATACCATCTCATACCTAGAGGTAGAGGGTATTTCAATTCCATGAAAATGTCTCACCCAAGCCTTCTAGCTTATTGCTATAATTAATTATGGGAATCCAATCCAATGCCTTCTGCCCCAATGCCAATTCCTAGAAATAAGTAGCACAAGAAAAGTCTGGAAATATATAACATCTCATAACTAGAGGTAGAGGGTCTTTCAATTCCATGAAAATGTTTTCAGCAATCTCGAATCTATTTTAACCCAAGCCTTCTAGCTTATTGCTATAATTTTTCGCTACTCCATGTCTACCACATTTTAACAAGACAGAATAAGGGAGTAGGGTGTCGTCTGAACCACAAGATAGTGAGATTTTTTCACCTCTCGGGCCATCTCCCCCCCCCCCCCTGCCATGTGAAGCGGAGACACAGCTGCTCTGCCTAACGATTATATTGTACTCAGTGTGTCAAATCTTCTTGTTTGGTACGTTTACTTGAGGTTGAAAACAGAAAAATGTTACAGTCTAAAGAAGAGATGCTTCATGCCATTTTCCTTCTCTTTTCCTCAGGGGTGGGCTGTGACCACACATCTCATCATGGACCGCTTCATGCCTACAAGCTTCAAACCAGACTTGGGATTTGCTACAAATCCTTGACTATCAACAAGCCAATAAAGAAGTAAATATGATTTGATATTATATTTTCCAACTTTAGATCCTGGAAAATATGAACTTGAATTTGATGAATATTATATGAAAGTAAATACTATATTTTTCAACAAAATCATTGGCAAAGAGTAGCACAATCAATTTGGTATATATATAGAGAGAGAACAATTAAGATGAGACTGGCCATATGAACTCATAAAGTGAAATTTGATTACAAATTGGTAATGCAACAGCATATCAAAAGCACATGAAATTAAGTTGATTAAAAATACAGAAACAAAGGCAAGTCTTGTCTATATACCATGATGAACAAGGCAAGCTGCCACCTCTTATAGCGAGCACACAACACCCTCTTTGTACATTTGTAACACTGTAATTAACATTATTTTGTGTACGAAGGGAATTACTAACGTTCATGAAAGGAAGATTGGTAAGAGATCATGAAAATGAGGAAAACAAGCAAAAGAGCAACGCCCCATGGAGACCCTCCAGCTTTATGAAGCGAATCCCTCTCAGGAAATGGTAAGAAAACTGGGAAACAACTAGACAGGCAGTGAACAAGGAGGAGTAAAACTACAGGAGAAAGCATGAGGAACAGTTTCACTTGGTTGAACAAGTCCTCTAGCTTGTCCTCATAGTTTATGTACCATGAGAGACATAGAATGGAAAAGAGGATGGAGATAAAAAGGAAGAGGTGGATTGGCATGGAGAAGCAGGAAATATAGTCTAAGAAGGAGTGGTTATTGTAGCTCCTAGCCATGGTCGGAGAATATGGCTTCTTTTTTTTTGGATGTGGATTTCTTATGTGGCAGAGACGTGACTTGAGAGATGTTGAATTCTTGAAGTGTATTTTTCTGGAGTGAGCTGGTTTTTGCTTCAGGAAGAAAGTTGATAGACGTGACTATGGTTTTTTATAGGGAGGAGATGGCGGATAATTGTGCAAATTAAGACAAGAGCATGCACAACACTCCCTCTTGCAATTGATTAGCAATTCTATTTGTAGTTAATACTTACTAAAAGGTCATCAGCAACCATGGAAAGGGTAAAAAAATGGTGGGATGTGTAGCTTTTTACTTGGATTATAGAGATACTTTCCCTTTTTGCCTAACCATCAAGATAATATCAAGAAAGCGTGTATTTTTTTTTACAGGTAAGATTTTTTTTTTTTGTTTGGTATTATGATGTATAATATTTTTTTACTTAAAAATATATTAAAGTATTTTTTTTAATATTAACATATTAAAAACATAAAAAATATTAAATTAATATTTTTTTTAAATCAAAATTATTTTAAAATATAAAAACAAACCGCCGCTGAATCTTGAAGATTGGAAAGTACTACCTCCAGCCGACCATGGAGCATAACATGGGTTGATGAGGAGAATAATGAAGCAAAAGCATGGAACTTGGTGAAAAAAATATGGAAGGTTCATCTTATTGGGAAAGTTGTGGGTATAGCCATGGTGGTCCACATCAGCTTTGCTAGCTTTATCTATTTACTTTGAGTTCTTTAAAGCCATTGCAAGGAAACGGGTGTGGATATTCCTGGTTTTTGTACCATTAAAGCTATAATTGTTTGTTAATTTGTTGGGTACAAATAATGGGATGCCGTCTGCTCGAGGAATTAGGATATTTCTCACATGCATGCTCTCCTTTCGAGTATAGTAATTAATCACTCCGAAAACTTGTAATTTAAAATTTAATTTAGTCTAAACTTTAAATTGAATTAGAAAAAAAAAATTTAACTTGATGTTTAATTGAATTTTTAATGATTCAATTGGCTTAATCAAAACTCTCTAAAGATTTTTTATTTATTTATGAAAAGAATAAAATAACAATATTAAAACAATTGAACTTATGACGTGTGGATTAATCTAATTAAAGACTCAATAATATAAACCTTTTCTCGAATGAGTCACAATAGCTCTACCAACTATGCTTTTGAGGTGCTTATTTTTTATATTCATTGAAGATAAAGCATGATGTCATGTATTAGCATCCTAAGGGATAATTTAAAATCCACTTTACTTTATTAAACCCATAAACTCCTGATTATTGATCCACTTTCGGCATCATCAACACGATCAATGAAGTGATGATGATTATATACATTTTACACGACATTTATTCCCATTTGCAAGCTTGTAACTACCATGATCTTTGATGGTCCACATGAGATTTCTTCTTCCCAGGTGAACCGAACTCTAATGAAATTCCTTGGCCAATTTATAACTACGAACTTTCAAGATGAAGGAGAGGGAATGTGGTGAATATTCCATACATTTTGTAAGAATTCTACATGCCAAGGATCTTAAGCAATGATTAGCATCTCGTTACATTGAAGATGATTTGCTAATTATGATCGAATTATTCGACTTTCTTGGAGATGGATCCTCGAATCAAAGCTCAAACATGCTTGATGATTGTTCTTTGTGTTGCACTCGAGATCATATTACTAGGAGAAAAGAGCACAGAGAAAAATAAATGTTTGTAAAGCTCAAGGTTGCTATGATTACATAGATCATGGACCGGCTGCTACTTTGCCATAACTGGGAATCTATTGTGCTTCTATATCCTTTATAGAAGAAACAGAAGTGAAGTGATTTAGTATCCGTTAGATATTTCAGTCCAATTGTGTTTTGAATTTTTTTTAGTTTTAAATTAATTTTTTTATTATTTTTTAGATCATTTTAAGATACTAATAACAAAATATTTTTTTAAAAATATTATGTTAACATATTTTTAAATAAAAAATACCTTAAAAAATTGGACCTTGAGGGGCTGAAGGTGTTACAGAAATATAAATTAATCTGGGAGGCTAAGTATTGGACCCAAGAAGACTGGATCCAACCTGAACTCGAGAAATAGGTAGAATTGAGGCCCATAATGTGAGGCCCAGACTAGGCTCATGATGTTAATTGCAATGTCAATCGAGTGAATCCGAGGTGTAATTCATACTGCCACGTGTTTCCCACTTCCCCCTAATTCATGGTTATGTCTGCCAACAAAATGATGTCATTTTCCCAGTATCAATCCACTTTAACTCTCCAGACCGAGTGTGTCGGTGAAAACACGCAAGTTGCAGGTTTTAAAAACCCTTTGTCAACGTCGTTCGCCGCCGCGTCTTTGTTAAAAATTTAGTTTTTTTTTTTTATATATATATATTTACTAGAGCCCTAGTGTTGTATTAGTATTTAATTTTTATTTTTGAATAAAAAAAGAAATATAACAAGGATAGATTTTGAAAGTATAAAAATTTACAAAAAAATTATCTTATTATTTTATAATTATGTTTCTATTTTTTTAATCAAATATATTGGTATTCTGTAATGGTATTTCTTTTAAAGATTTGGTCTAAATTCAATGGAGAATTGTTAAGAAAATAAAAATCAAGACCAACAATAACCAACACATCACATCCTCTTGATGGATCTCAGGAGCATGCACGGATCATATCCAGATAGAATAAAATTGAATCAATACTGATTTTTATTTTTATTTTTTTGTCTTTTAATAATTCCCAAAGGAAAAACACTACAAGTACCGATCGACAGTGACAATTAATTCTCCCCACCAACATGGAAGTAATGATCAGAAGTGTTCACTATTATTGGAAATAGATAGATAATAGTACCTCATAAATTAAAGCAAATAATTGAATAAAAACCCAGAAAAAGAGTTAAAAAAGAACAACGATCAATAATGAAAAACGTAGACATTATACTCAACTGTAGCGTCTCCTGTGGCCATGTCGAGCTTGTGAGTTCTCGCCTGAACATAACCTCTAGCAAACCGGAAAAGTCCGCTTCCTCCGATCACCGGCATCTCTCTCACCGTCGAGAACACTGCGTTCTTCCCTAGAACAGTAATAGTGCTACCATTATACTTACCTTCAATAAAAGCGAAGTTCATGGCCATCAATAACCCAATATCTTGTTGCGACGCTTGTGCATAAAACCCTTGTGCCCTTCCTACCAACTTTGAGCTCATTTCAGGCCCTAAGGTTAATGGGTTATCGATCATTCTCACTAACCCAAAAGCTGTTCTTGATGTGTTCGATGGCGGTGGCACAACTTGGACGGCGCTGGGGTTCTGGCCAGTAAGGATGTCATGCCAATATAACTTGAAGTGGCTTAGCTTTTCTTTCTTGAGCCCTAGTAGCTTCC